AATATGTTACTGAGATTCGGAGTTTCTTAGGCCTTGCAGGTTATTATTGACGGTTTGTAGAAGGGTTCTCATCCATTGCATCCCCATTAACTAGATTAACCCCAAAAAGAAGTGATTTTCCAGTGTTCTGATGAATGTGAGGTGAGTTTTCAAAAGCTTAAGACTTATTGACTACTGCTCCAATTTTGACCCTACCCGTGGAAGGAGAGGGTTTGTTGTATATTGTGATGCTTCTCGAATCAGTCTTGGTTGCGTATTGATGCAGAAGGGGAAGGTGATAGCTTATGCTTCGAGGTAGTTGAAGGTTCATGAGAAGAACTATCCTATTCATGATTTGAGTTAGTAGTTGTTGTGTTTGCGTTGAAAAATTTGGAGGCATTATCTTTATGGTGTGCATTGTGAGGTGTTCACAGATCATCGTAGGCTCCAATATATATTCAATCAGAGAGATCTTAATTTGAGGCAGCAGAGATGGTTGGAGTTGCTCAAAGACTACGACATGACTATTCTTTATCATCTAGACAAGGCAAATGTGGTAGCAGATGCCTTGAGTCGGAAGGCAATAAGTATGGGTAGTCTAGCCATGTTACAGGTTGGCGAGCGTCCTTTAGCTAGGGATACCAATCCTTGGCCAATAGCTTTGTGAGGCTTGATATTTTCAGAATCTGGTAAGGTTTTGGCTTATATGGAGGCTAGGTCATCCTTGTTGGAGCAGATTCGGACTCGACAGTTTAATGATGTTGATTTATGTAAGATTCGAGACAAGTTGTCAAAAGGAGAAGCAAAAGATGCAATTCTTGATAGTGAGGGAGTTTGGAGGATAAAAGGTCGTATTTGTGTTCCTCGAACGGGTGATTTAACTAGACTGATCATGGAGGAGGCCCATTGTTCGAGGTACTCTATTCATCCGGGGGCAACTAAGATGTATCGTGACTTGAAGCAGCATTATTAGTGGTGTCGTATGAAGAGGGACATAGTAGATTTGTATCTCAGTGTTTGAATTGTCATCAAGTGAAGTATGAACACCAAAAGCCTGGAGGTGTGACCCAGAGGATGCCCATACCTGAGTGGAAGTGGGAGCGCATTGCTATGGACTTGTGGTAGGGTTGCCACGTACCTTGGGTAAGTTTGATGTTATATGGGTCATCGTGGATCGATTGACTAAGTCTGCACACTTCGTACCAGTTCAGACTACCTATAATTCAGAGAAGCTAGCCAAGATCTATATTCGAGAGATAGTTCGCTTGCATGGGTTCCAATTTCTATTATATCAGATCGTGGCACTCAATTTACATCTCATTTCTGGTGGTCTATGCAGAAGGAGTTGGGCACTCGGGTGGATCTCAGTACAACCTTTCACCCTCAGACTGATGGTCAGTCTGAACGGACTATTCAGGTTCTTGAGGACATGTTGCGGGCGTGTGTGATCGACTTTGGTGGTCATTGGGATCAATTTTTGCCTTTAGCGGAGTTTGCTTACAAAAATAGTTACCATTCGAGCATTGAGATGGCACCATTTGAGGCTTTGTATGGTAGGAGATGTCGATCTCTAATTGGTTGGTTTGATGCATTTGAGGTTAGACCGTGGGGTACAGATCTACTGAGGGAGTCCTTGGACAAGGTTAAGTTGATCTAAGATAGACTTCTCATGGCTCAGAGTAGGCAAAAGAGTTATGCAGATCGGAAGGTTCGTGATTTGGAGTTCATGGTAGGAGAGTGGTGTCTATTGAAGGTTTCACCCATGAAGGGTGATGAGATTTGGAAAGAAGGGCAAGTTGAGCCCAAGATATATTGGCCATTTCGAGATTGTTGAGTGTATTGGTGAGGTGGCGTATCAGTTGGCTTTGCCACCTGGTTTGTCGGGTGTTCATCCTGTATTTCATATTTCGATGTTGAAAAAGTATCATCAGGGTGGTGCTCATGTGATTCAACGGGATTCAGTGTTACTTGATCAGAATTTGACTTTTGAGGAGGAGCCGATAACCATTTTGGATAGGCAAATTCGAAAGTTGAGGTCGAAAGAGATTGCTTCAGTAAAGGTTCAATGGAAGCATCGTCCAGTGGAGGAGGCTACATGGGAGACCGAGTCAGACATGAGGAGTAGATATCCTCAACTTTTTGAGCGTTCAGGTGCGTTCTATTCTTTTACCATTCGAGGACGAACGTTTGTTTAAGTGGTAGGTGATGTAACGACCCGCTAGGTCGTTTTGAGAACTAGGACTATTTTTACTTTTCCCGAAACTTTTGAATGGAAAATTTTAAATTATTCAGTAGCTACGAGTAATTAGTTGACGAATATTTAGCAAATAATTAATACAGTTAATAGTTAGTGGGCCAAGTCCATAACCATTTCATTTAATACCCTTTACCCTTGACCCATGTAATTAAGATATGTTAGTGGAGTTAGTTTAGAAAAAAAAAGGGAGAACAAAAGAGAAGAGAACTGTCAGAGACGGAAACAAAGAAACCTACGAATTTAGTTGAGGATCGCTTCATGTAAATCCTTTTGATCTTTTTTTTCTTCTTCCAACAATGGGATATTTAATTTGTTAGGTGAGAATGAATACCTTAGCGAATTATTAATTGCTTGCTATTTGTAGTTTAGCGTTAGAGTCAAATTAGTGGAGAATGTTGAATTGATGGTTAGTTAATGAGTGATAATTATTAGCTAATGATTAGATAATGATTGAAAGATTATTAAATGGAAAATCAAGACACGTTGGAGGTTGGGTTTAATTGTTGGTTTCATAATTAAGGTGCATGTTATAGTTGAGTGAGAATTTTGAATTTCTTGCCACTGTTTTTGGGTTTTTATACTAGCTTTAGACTATAATTGTAACTCCTTGTTTGGTAGGATAAAGCAAATCACAATATGAAATTTTTATGAATTAATATTTAATTAGTGTGGGTGATTGCTGAAATTTGTGGGCAATAGGGTGTGCTAATGTTGGCTAATGATATTGATTATGTGACTTAGGGAATAAAAAGGGTGTCAAGGTTTGGATGTTTCCTCTTGTTGTTTCCACTGGAACGTAAGTTTTCCTTGGGATAAGATGACGATTACTTAGGAATTTTTCAATTTGGTGGAACCGGTTGTGTCGACCTTTTCTTTTTTCTTATTATCCTACTAGATTTATGAAATTGTTTGTTAAAATGAGACTTAATCTTATGCTTAATTTAGGAGCTTGGTTAGAGATATGAGTGAGTTTTAGGTCTAGGATAGGCATATAATAATTTGGGTGTCAATGAACTCGCGTGCTTACAAATAATCATGATTGGTAGATTGGGAACATTCTGAAGCTTTGCGAAAAGGGAAGGAAAAACCTTGAGGATTTGTGGCACGTGTTCGGCATTCAAGGTATGTTAAGACTTTTAGACTTCGTTGGACGACGTTTTCCTAATTTAAAGATTTAAAAATGGAATAGACAATGGGTAAGGGCGAAAGAAGGGGGTCTCGTACTAATGATGTGACGGGCATTGGTACGAGTACCGGTGTTATAAAGGGAAAGTTTATTACTATAGAATGCGGATTTTAATCCGAGAATGCCAAAGCATATGGGCATTAGCGGATATATTATTGACTGATTATTTGTGTGATTGTGTTTTTATTTGAACCCATATACTTGTGATGGTTGAGGTGGTTATGTATTATGTTAATACTTGATTGATTGAGATATATTATCATCCCCTTTATTTGAGATTATATTGTGCACATGCATTGACATGAGATTGAGTATAAGTTGGGCACGTGGAGATCGTCCGTGCTGGGGATGGTGAGATGCTAAGATTTTATTTTGCGCACGTGGAGAACGTCCGTGCATAAATTATTTGATTTTATGATAGTGCGTTGAGATTGTCCGCACAGACACGTGGAGATCGTCTGTGTCGGTATATGGACCTCGCGAGTCCCCCATGGGTCATGAACTCTCGATGTTTTTCCGAGGAGTATCATGTATATACGGTTGAGAGAATACTTGGTATTCTGAGGCATATCATTCCATGGTGTCATATTGCATTGCATCTCATGACATCCTTCATTTTGATGATTATGTGTTTTATTGGTGTTTGAAAAGTACTTGTTATTTGATTACCTATGTTTGATGAAACTTGACTCGTAATTATAATATAGACTTGTATAAATAAATAACAGATTTTCCTATATGAACTCCCGTCACTACTTCTTCATTGTCGGTCTATGAGATATACTGGGTACACGTGGTTTCATACTCATACTACACTTGTTGCACTCTTTTGTGGTGCAGATTCGATTTCGAGTACGAGCACATCTCGTGGAGCTGTTTAAGTCCGAGCTTGGAGTACTTTAGAGTTGTGGTGAGCTGCTTGGCTGTTCCGTGGCCCACACCTCCATCTACCTTTTATTTATTCTGTTATTTAGTATTCAGACAGAATATCCCTTATGTTTGGATTGTCCTTTTGTTTCAGACTTGCATCATATTTAGAGGCTCTTGTATTTATGACACCAATTTCTTGGGTAGTATTTTAGCTTTCCGCGTTTCGTATTTATAAAGAACTTAGTGGTGGAAATTTTACTCATTGTTTACCTTTTCACCTCATTAGTTAATCATAATTGGTAAATATGTTGGGTTGGCTTACCTATTGGTTGAGAACATAGGTGCCATCACGACTTGTGAATTTGGGTCGTGACAATTTAGTATCAGAGCACTAGGTTCACTGGTCTCACGAGTACAAGAGCAATGTCTAGTAGAGTCTTGTGGATCGGTATGATGACGTCTATACCTATCTTCGAGAGGCTATAGGACATTTAGGAAAATTTGTATTATTTCATTCATTATCGTGCACACTTTACCTTGTTGAAATTCTAATCTTTATATCTCATTCCCTTAGATGGTTAGGACTCGTACATCTTCAAGTGGTGATCATGAGCCTATTCCTGCGCCTGCTTCTGGGAGCACTATCCGAGGTAGAGGCAGGGGACGAGGTCGAGGTCGAGGTCGAGGTCGGGGTAGGGGTCGTATTGCAGCATCCGTGGAAGGACAAGTACCACTAACCACCCAGGGACGTGATAGGACAGTACCTCTTGATGCATATGTTATTCAAGGGGATGTGCAGGATCGTGTCGAGGGGGATGGACCAGCTCAGGCTCCACCTAATATTATTGCCACCCCAGTGCTTCAAGATACCTTAACTCGTATGTTAGGACTTCTAGAGGGGATGGCTCAGGCGGGAACTTTGCATGTCACCTCTGATGCTTCGCAGACTTGTGTTGGAGGTCAGACTCCAGATCCGATGATTGCTCCAGATTCTCAGACTCCCAGGACTCAGCCAGCTGCTGCTATAGCTCCCCGTTTAGATAGTACAAAATTTCTAGGTATTGCATCACACTTGGCGAACAGGCCTTCCATGACCATTGATGAACAAAAGATGTTTGGGAGGTTCAGACTAATGAATCCTCCGACTTATACTAGTGACTTAACTGAGGATGCATATGAATTTATAGTTAGTTGTCATGAGAGGTTGCATAATCTTGGATTAGTGGAGTCTCATGGAATTGACTACACAGTGTTTCAGATGACTGGCTCAGCCAAGCAGTGGTGGAGGGATTATATTAGTAGTAGGCCAGCTGGATCCCCTCCACTATCATGGACTCAGTTTACTCAGGTATTTCTAGCCAAGTTTGTTCCACGCAGTGATAGGGAGCGTAAGAGGGCAGCGTTCGAGGGTTTGCAACAAGATGGTTTGTCTGTCGCAGAGTATGAGGGTAAATTCCATGCCTTGGCTAGGCATGCTTCGATGATACTTCCCATAGAGGCTGAGAGAGTGAGGAGGTTTGTTAAGGGGTTGATTATTCCGATTCGTCTGGGAGTTTCTCAGGTTGCTACTTTTGGTGTGCCGTTCTAGAAGGTAGTAGATGCCGCTAAGGAGTTGGAGATGATTCGACGTGAGGGACTGTTATTTAGTATTCAGACAAAATATCCCTTATGTTTGGATTGTCCTTTAGTTTCAGACTTGCATCATATTTAGAGGCTCTTGTATTTATGACACCAATTTCATGGGTAGTATTTTAGCTTTCCGCGTTTCGTATTTATAAAGAACTTAGTGGTGGAAATTTTACTCATTGTTTACCTTTTCACCTCATTAGTTAATCATAATTGGTAAATATGTTGGGTTGGCTTACCTATTGGTTGAGAACATAGGTGCCATCACGACTTGTGAATTTGGGTCGTGACATAAAGTAATATGTTAAACCACCACAGAAGAACAATATTATAGAGCAAAACATGAAGGGAGATCTCTAAAGAATATTATAGAGCAAAACATGATGGGAGATCTCTCAAGAATATTATAGAGCAAAACATGAAGGGAGATCTCTGAAATTATATCAAAATATACTTTCTTCCTCATCCAATCCCGAAATATACTTTCTTCCTCATCTAATCTAAGAAATAAAACGACTACATTTATTATGTCAAACAAGAAATAGCTTAGATTAATCTAAATTACCCAATTACCTATTTGTTAGAATGGATGCGTCCATTAGTAATCACAGGACCAGGTTCCCAGATAGAATAAAAGTGCGGAAAATAAATAGCTCAAAGTAAATCAAGCACAAGGATTTTACGTGGAAACCTCCTTGCTCAAGGGCGATGAAAACTACGACCTGTACTCACATGATTTCAACCCAAACTCCATTTCATTCAAACGGAGCAAAGTTTCAGATTACAAACTCTTGCAACCTAGGAATTAAAACTCTTTAATCCCTTCCCCCTTACTGTAGCAACTCCACTACAAAGGAAACTAAGCAATAACTCTATTGCCCACTAAACCAATTAACTCTAGTTGATCTAGACTTTGAGAACCCACCAAGGCTAACTCTAGGCACCAACTCAAAACAAGAAGTAACTCTGCTGCACCACACATCAACTAACTCTAGTTGACACTCCTAGGCAACTCTACCAAAGAGAACATCAAAACAATGATGTAAAAAAGACTTTACCAAAACTTAGATGATTCGACTAACTAACTCTTGTAAATACGACTCAAACTAAATATTTAGACAAATAACTGATCTACTATCCTTTATAACTTAGGATTAGATTTACAATGTAAGCACATAAGACACAAATATCAAAATACAACAAAGTCTCTTCAGCACTCTATCAGGTCCCTTTATTGAGCATGAGCAGTGTTCTTCCTTAAAGATGACTTCTTCTTTTTAAGCTTATGAATTTTATGAAATTCTAAACTTTATTTGCCAAATCTTGAGTTGTGTCTTTGGAGAAGAAACTATATCAAATAGACACAAACACCTTGGGATGACACCATTGGCTGAGAGCCTACTACTCTGAAAAGTTGTGCACCAACCATGTTAGATGTGATAGCTTTTAGACAGTTGTCTTTTGACTTTTTTTTGTACGTAGTCTTTCCGGGACCAGGTCCCTTACAGTGTTCTTTGATGCTTGAGTTCTTGAAAAGACTTGCAAGATCTCTGTAACGGCATGATTCTGTCGTTAGAGAAAAGCCAATAGAGAAAGAATTAAGGCTAGAATACTTTTTCGTAGTAACTTGAGATTTCACAGGTAACCAGGATCAGCATCCAGCATTTCGTTGATCCAGTTGAGCATTCAGAGTCATGTGGTGAGCCTCCCTTCTTTTCGGAGGATCCCTATTTTTATATTACTTTAGTAGTTTTCAGTTGTTAGGATGATCGGGGGTCTTGTCTAGACATCCATCTCAGTTATTAGAGGCTTCATAGATAGACAGTCAGTTCGTTCATTTGTCTTTATCTTGTTATTGACTTATGTTCAATTTTGATTAGTTGCCACTTTGGCTAAGTTAAATGTTTATTTCTAAACCATTATGAATTTAGTTTGAGACAGTTGAGTTATCTTGCATTTGAGTTCTTTTCTTAATACTTAAAGTCTTCCGCTGAGTAAGTAAGCTAGGCCAAGGGTTCGCTTGGGCCAGCAATTGTTCTCGAGTACCAGTCCCGTCCAGGGTGTAGGCTCGGGGAGTGACAAACTTGGTATCAGAGCACAAAGTTCAAGAGTCCTAGGGAGTCTATGAAGTCATGTCTGTAGAGTCCTAGTTATCGGTGTGAAGCGCGCCACATCTATTATTAGGAGCCTACAACATTTTAGGAAGTATCTTACTTCTTTCATACTTATTTCGTCCGATAGAGTTCATCTCTATAAAGTTTCTTTCTAACACGTGCTTGCACGTAACCGATTGTGAGTTGAGCTATTTTTGAGAGTTGACTCTTGGGGCGTTCTTTCCCTGTGAGCTAAGAGAAGCAAATAGATGGTTACTTACATGAGGAGTATGATGAGTTTATTTGTCGTTGAGTTTACTCGTCTGTCAAGTAAGGAAAGTAAGGCAACCATGCTAATAGGTGACATGGGCACATCAATGCTGATGATCCATGTGCAACAAGTTGAGGAGGACAAACTTAAGGATAAATAAGAGTTTAAGAGTAAGAGGTCTAAGACATCAGGGAATGAATTCGGGCAGCAAAAGAGTAATGCGAACCGGTCTTGTTTCCAACATAAGCAGAAAGGACCTTCTCCATCATCTACTGGTGCACCTGCACCAAGAAACAAATGTGAGTACAATAGTTAGAATTCCAAAATTTCAGAGCTAGACTTGGACTGTCGCAAGGTAGTATGGCACAAGGGGGTACTAAGATTCTTACATGTGCTAAATGTGGTAGGAACCACTCAGGGATGTGTCATGATGGTTCCACTGGATGTTTCAAGTGTGGTCAGAATGGTCATTTCATGCGAGAATGTCCAAAGAACTAGCAGGGTAATGGTAATGGGAATCAGAGAAATACAACCCAGTCTTCTTCTATATGCTATCACTAGTTGCCAAGAGCAAGAGGATTCGCCAGATGTTGTCACTGGTATGATCTAAGTCTTTAACTTTGATGTTTATGCTTTGCTACATACATGATCGAGTTTATCTTTCGTAACACCATATGCTTGCACGTAATCGATTGTGAGTTGAGCTATTTTTGAGAGTTCGTTCTTGGGGCGTTCTTTCCCTGTGAGCTAAGAGAAGCAAAGAGATGGTTGTTGACATAATGAGTAGGAAGAGTTTATTTGTCGTTGAGTTGACTCGTCTGTCAAGTAAGGAAAGTAAGGCAGCCATGCTAATAGGTGACATAGGCACCGCAAGGCTGATAATCCATGTGCAACAAGTTGAGGAGGACAAGCTAAAGGATAAAGAAGAGTTTAAGAATAAGAGGTCTAAGACATCAGGGAATGAATCCGGGCAGCAAAAGAGTAATGCGAACTGGTCATCTTTCCAACATAAGCAGAAAGGACCTTCTCCATCATCTGCTGGTGCACCTACACCAAGAAACAAATGTGAGTACAATAGTTAGAATTCCAGAATTTCAGAGCTAGACTTGCACTGTCGTAAGGTAGCATGACATAAGGGGGTACTAAGATTCCTGCATGTGCTAAGTGTGGTAGGAACCACTCAGGGATGTGTCATGATGGTTCCACTGGATGTTTCAAGTGTGGTTAGAATGGTAATTTCATGCGAGAATGTCCAAAGAACTAGTAGGGTAATGGTAATAGGAATCAGGGCAATAAAGCCCAGTTTTCTTCAGTTGCTCCACCAGACAGGGCTGTACCTAGAGGAGCTACTTCCGGTTCTGGCGGAGGAGCAAACCGTCTATATGTTATCACTAGTTGCCAATAGCAAGAGGATTCGCCAGATGTTGTCACTGGTATGATCCAAGTCTTTAACTTTAATGTTTCTGCTTTGCTAGATACATGAGCGAGTTTATCTTTTGTAACTCCATATGTTGCTATGAATTTTAATGTTCTTCCTGAGCAACTTCTTGAACCCTTCAGTGTTCCTACACCTGTTGGTGAGTCTATTCTAGCTGAGAGAGTCTATCGTGATTGTACAATTTTCATCAATCACAAGAGTACCATGGATGACTTAGTTAAGTTAGATATGGTAGATTTTGATGTCACTTTAGGTATGGACTGGCTTCATGTCTGTTATGCATCAATAAATTGTAGAACTTGAGTAGTCAAGTTTCAGTTTCCCAGTGAACCAGTTTTAAAGTGGAAGAGCGGTTCAGCAGTGCCTAAGGGTCGTTTTATTTCGTACCTTAAGGCGAGAAAGTTAGTTTCCAAGGGTTGTGTCTATCACTTAGTCTGATTTAATGACTCTAGTGTTGAGATACCTCCTATTCAGCCAGCTCTAGTAGTAAAAGAGTTTCCAGAAGTCTTTCCTGATGATCTTCTCGGAGTCTCTCCTGGGAGAGAAATAGACTTCAGTATAGATATTTTTCCAGATACTCGTCCTATATCTATTACGCCATATAGAATTGCTCCAGCAGAGTTAAAAGAGTTGAAAGAGAAGTTGTAATATCTCCTTGATAATGGGTTTATTCGACCAAGTTTCTCACATTGGGGAGTTCCGGACTTATTTATGAGAAAGAAAGATGGCTCCCTTAGAATGTGTATAGATTACCGCCAGTTGAACAAGGTTACCATCAAGAATAAGTATCCTCTTTCGAGAATTGATGATCTTTTTTATCAGCTTTAGGGTGCTAGTTGTTTCTCTAAGATAGACCTCAGATCAGGCTACCATCAGTTGAGAGTAAGGGAATGTGATATTCCAAAGCCAGCATTTAGGACCCGTTATGGTCATTATGAGTTCTTAGTTATGTCCTTTGGTTTGAACAATGCGCCTGCAACATTCATGGACCTTATGAATAAAGTATTCAAACCTTATATAGATATGTTTGTTATCGTCTTCATTGATGACATACTAATCTATTCGAGGAATGAAGAAGATCATGCTATTCATCTCAGAATAGTTCTCCAAACTCTAAAGGATAGAGAGTTGTATGCCAAGTTCTCTAAGTATAAGTTTTG